AGTTTTTATTTCATTTTTGTTTAAAAACACAAAATCGATGAGAACTGACAGCCACTGACTCCTGTATGAGTCCCACTGTGTGCAAATGTATGAAAAGCCGACGCCACATCGGTTTGCATCTCTTTGCTTTCCATTCTGCTAAGAAAAATACCCATTCCTGATTTTTATTTTATTTTTATTATTGTTTTATTCTTTTTGCATGGCACATATGCATGTTGTCACTTTTTAAATTTGTGTTTTACCGTGCAATCCTTTATGTTGTTTTTTTTTATTGTACATTAGTCACACCCAGTAGATGTGTGTGTAGAGATCTAGATGTCTGATGTTTATGCAAACTGTTTTTTAATATTCAGTCATGTAATTTTAGGCGAGCAGCCATTTTGAAGTAGGTAATGTGTGTCTAGAGCAGCTGTTACAGTTCTGCCATGTGTCTCTTTTTTTCCACTTCATATTCCCATTAAGAACTCCTGCTGAACTGTTACAGAGGTTCCACCTCCATGCAAAAGTGAAATATTACCCTGAGCATCAGATAGTGAGCAGGTGAAACCATTTGCTTTATTGTGAGTGTTCAGAAAAAGAAGACATGTTTAAAAAAAAAAAATAAATGGCAGCATGACATTTGTTGTCTTCAGCTTGCAGTTGCATTTTTGTGACGGTATTTGTTCTTTAGCTCTGCCTGTTAGGAGTCCTGTGCATAAACCTCAGAACATATCAGTGTTAATGCTCAGAAAAATGCAAAGTTCACCTGTGCTGGCAATGCATGACTTCTTTTGCTTCTCCAAACTGGATAAAGAGATGCATCCAGAAATACACTCCTCTGTACATTACCTTTAAAGCAACCGTCTACCCTTTCACATGCAGCTGAGAATGAACCGGATTAGCGTCATAGTGCTGCTACCGCACCTGTTTTGAAAGTGGAACAGTTGCATTAAGGGTAAAATCCGTCCTGTGTTCCTGTTTAGCTCTCCCTTAGTCATCTGTGAGGTGTAAGAACTGTGGAAGAGTGTTCCAGTTTGTCATTTTGCAGTATTGTCAATTGTTTTTAGGGGACAATGGTCTTGACAGACTGGATCAAAGCTGCAAACATGACCAGCGACCATCCAAAGTCCTCTCTCCCATTTATGAGATGGATGTGGGAGAAGCGTTTGAGCGCTGCTCGGATAAAGACAGGGATGTTAAACGTCAAACGGACGAGGAGAAAGGCGGCGACTTTGCCGAGCGGGACTGGGGGTTACTCAGGCAGCTCCTGTCGGAGCACGAGTCCAACCTGGGCGTTATAAACCCGGTGCCCGAGGAGCTCAACCTGGCTCAGTACCTCATCAAGCAGACGCTGTCCTTGTCACGGGACTCCCTGGATACGCAGGCTTTTCTGTCGCCAGAGAAGGAGAGTTTCAAACGGTGGGCGGAGCTTATCTCCCCTTTGGAGGACTCCTCCACCAGCATCACGGTGACCAGCTTCTCTCCAGAAGACGCTGCTTCCCCACAGGGAGAGTGGACCATCGTGGAGCTGGAGACGCATCACTGACACACTGGACAGCCAGCTGACCCCCCTCCCCTCCACCTGCTGGTTTAAGCTCATATGTTTACTGTGTCTTTATTTATTTGATTTGTGACGCCATGTCCTGACATCATTTCCTGGACTCTCTGGACTTTACTGCACTTTCATTCACATTCCTTTAAAAGACTTTTTGCTGACACAAGCGGGCCGGTATGCATGCAGATATTTTTGTATATTGGACTATTTATTTGTCGCATCTTTGGAAAAACTAAAAGACAAAGACTGAAGACAGAAATAGTGTCTTTTATTTAAGGCATTTTCTTTCTTTATAGTCTTATATGGTTTATTGATGTTTCTTAAAGAAAAATACTATTAGCCTTTTGGCTTCTGTTAAGTGTAAAATAAAGGTTTGTGTTTCTGGAACAAAATGAAAGATCCCATCATACCTTTATTTTATTTCTTTGATAAAACAGACATTTAGATAATGTGGGAATCATTGCTATAATGTGACTTGATAGTTCGTACAACATTCATTTTATTTATATAACCTTTAAATGTTAAAAATCAATTTTATAACATCTTTAAGCTATTTTTTTTTTGTAAAACATTCTTTTATAGTCACTTTGTCATACCTAAGAACGTCAACAAACGGGTAAGGTTATACACGGCGCTTCAGCGACATCTAGCGGTCATCTAAAGACATTACACGTGTATGGTTTGTTGACAGTTTTTGTCTAAAAGGAACAGTTACCTGTGATTACTGATCTATAACTAAAACAATATTTCCTAGTTGGCCAATTTTAATAGTTTGGTCCAAAAACGAAGCACAATTACATATTGCATTTGTAAATTGAAATATAAAAAAATGCAATCCAGAAATAAAACTTTAAAAAGGTTTTGAAAGTAAATTTGCTTTTTCAGACTTCATTTTTCCCCCCTATTTTATTTTTTTTTTAATTTTGATTTAAAATTCTTTTCTTTGAAAACATTTTTGCATATATTTAATGTTTATGTTGTGTTCAACATGTGTTCAATTTTGTATCAGTTCTATTACATTCTTTTATCTTTTTATTTGGTGTTAAAAAGTTCTTATTTTCAGTATGAGTTTTAAAGATTGCCTTCCTTTGGAAATGCATTTTACAGATCACGTTCTGTACAACTCTGAGGCGGGGCTTTCCTCTGGAGTGAGGAGCAAAAACGTATCAACTGGTCATTTATATGAACATAATATAAAATGCCATTTGAAAATAATGTAATTCATAAAACGCAATCTGAGAAACAAATTGTAAAAAATAAAAAAAGTACAAAATCTCAAAGTTTTATTAAAAAATTACATTGGAAAATCTATGGATATTTAAAAAAAATGTATGAATTATTTAAAAAATAAAACCAGAATAATTTTTTTCTTCAAATTTAAACATTAAAAGTGTTTGCATTTCCATTTATAAAATTTGTTCTTCACATTTATGAAGCTAAATTCTCTCCATATCACTGATGTAAACCCATTACACACATTATATCATTGGTCTTGGGAGAAACCAAGTTTAGTGATTTAGATTTGATTCTGAATAATGATATTTATTTCTAGATATTTGAGAGATTAATCGGTCGGCTAATAAAAAAAAAAAAGGGGGATTAACTGGTTTATCGGTACAATTATAACTTTCAATTCACCTAAGAACAATTTGTACTATTAAGTAGGTTTTTACCAGTATAAATTCTTTTATTCCCAGGATATTTTTTAGTGGGTAGCTTGGATTGTATGTCAAAATGACTTGCCATACCGGATTGTGTCGTCGTTTTTATACATTACGTCATCAATCCGGCTCTATCAGAAATGGCTACTTCCGGAGAACCAACTGCTCAGTGGAAAACTACAATTATAATTAGCTCGTCTCTCCAGGTAAATATGATTTGAACGAAAAACAAATTTTTAAACGAAAAAAAACAAACCCTTTTATGAAAGAACGTTAAAATCTGCCGATTCAAGCCGTTTTGCTAACCTAGCATAGGACATGATTTGACATTTCGCGAGCGACGGCTTTAATTTCTGAAATGTTTTGGCAGAACCACGACACCTGCAGGACGCTGGGCGCACAGCAGCACAGGATCAGGTTCTCTGACAGCGTTGAAGCTGGTTCCTTCATTTTCCCTCTTTCAGGTACATCTCAGCTTTTCTCCATGTTTTAGTTTCATCACAGGTGGGTAGTAACTTATACTTGAGTCATTTTCTGGACAGAAAAAGTATTTACTTTTAACTTTAACTAATTAAACTGCAAAAATGTTTAACTTCTCTTCCATCCTCAGTAAATTTAGTGAATAAAATAGAAACTTGTGCAGGTAAAGACACACAGTTAATGTCAAAAGGAACTTTTTTCACCAAGCTTGCTTGAACCTATCATGATATTTGGAGGTTAAGTTCATCAGTACAGTAAGATGTACATTTTGACGCTGGAGTTATTGATTTTAAAAGTTTTAAGTCAAAAAGACACCTTGTTTTGGAAAAGTGTTTATTCTAACTAGAATTATTATTTTTAAATTCCTTTTATTTTTATTGTTGTATTTGATTCTTGGAGATACCAGAATTTAACATCACAATCTAAATATCAGATGTTATAAGTTACTCAGTGCTTCATCAGCCTTTTTACCAAATATGTGTTACTTTTACTTGAATATA